TTGAATTTTACTTCTACGGGAAAAATCATTGAATGGTAAAAAAACAAACAGAAAACTTAGCCAAAAAAGAAGAGGGTGGTAAAAATAGAATAGAAAAAATTCAATGACTAACTAAACACGAAAAAACTAGGAAAAATAGACTCATGAATGTTCTTGCTTTGAGAAATTTGTCCGAATCAAAAAAAATTGACATGAGAGTGTTGAAGGTGGGGGGACATGAAAAAAAATAATGTTCTCGAAATTCCGTTCAAAGATGCCGCTCGAGGAGTTGAACTTGTGAGGGCGATGATTGAGGGTGCGGCGCCGCTACCGACTGAGCCACGCGGGCAAAGAGAAAGCGCACGCCCGATTGCACACATAAAGGCGAGGACGACAGCTGTACGCAGAGTGACATTAAGCGTTGTACACCGTTATGGTAGAATGCATACTCTAGCTACAAAAAAACTACGAAAAATCTCCTGTCCCCCCACCTTTAAGTCGTCTACTAACCAAAAAGTTCGAATGTATATTCGTAGACCAAGGAAGGAATAGATTTCAAGTTAATCAAATCAGGTATTGTTTTTTTGTGAGTTTTCGAGTGACAAACTAGTATAGCAATCTTAAAAATATTCAGTCATCTGCCAAATTATAAAAAAGTCACATATTGTGAGTTTCACATCATATTTACCACATTTTTCACTTTCCGGATCACAGAAACAAAGATTTCTGGGATTTTGATCTGCTGCATGAGTCAGACGTTATTATTGTTTCCGGAAAAAATTCTTTGGGGTGCCTACCGTATTCAGACTGCAAAAATACTCTCTAACTCTAATTTTTTTCGGACAACAATAAATTCAGTTAGTGTGCGGTGGAGCGCAGACCATATTTTACATTGCTAATATATAGAAAATATTCACACTGAACTATACAGATTATACACATCAAAGAAGCAAAAAAGCGAACAAAGAGAATGTCAAAACAATTATTCAAAAGTTAAGCGGATTCGAGTCAAACAAGAAATAAAAAATATTGTCTCGGTAAATACTTGGGAAAATTGGTAAGGCGAAAATAAAAATTTAAATCAGAGCACTTGGAAATCATTTGGGGTTTAATATACCGCATCGAGTAGTGACTGGAAACATCCACGTTTTGAAATTCAAATGAAATAGTAGATATTTCAGTTCTGTGTGAAAGCAAGGTTAATACATGATATGAAAATTTTAACTGCAGAATGAAACCAAAAAATTACTGCTTTTTCCCGCATAAAATGGTCCTCAATAATTGTTTCCTCAATTTCTCCCATCCCTCGTTTTTGTTGACCAACTGCTCACAACTTTCTTCTCGAATCTATCATGTGCTCGAAAGACAAAGCGCGTATCTATCTCTTTTCATCTTTCTTTCTTTCTAATAATCACGAAATATTTTCAGAAAACATACGTTCACGTTTTTGTTAGAGTTGAAGACATATGATCTTTTCTATTCCGACTTTTAAAATCCTTTTTGAAATCAATTCAATTCTTGAGTAATATTTTAGAAAATGCTGTTGAAGCTGACGGATGTGGTTCTGGACAAATTGGGAAAAACTCTACCAGCAAAAGTTGATCTTCGGATGGTGATGGTTTGAATGTATATTTTTGATTTTTTCAGGATCTCCTTTCTTTATCACTGGTTCAGTCCTCTCTAAACGAGTTTTTTAATAAAGAAGTGTATTGGCAGCGGCTGATGACCAAACATCTTTGGATCGATCGGAAAATGGTGAGTTGAACGAACTTTGTAGAGAAGCTTTTAAGGCTTATTGAGAATTGTTAAGAAATAATCTTTCGCGCACAATAGTTTGATAACTTTTCCAGATAAACTTCATTATATCCGATTTTCTTTTAATTTTCATTATGGTGTCTACTTTCTTTATGTTTGACCAGCCTGTTTACCGCTCCTCCGGCGCTTCAAACAGCTGGCTGGTACGCCTTCGGCGCAATTTAACCTATTTTTTTACTGTTCGTCGCTTCGCTCCTCAATCTTTTAAAAAGTTCACGTCAAATTATATTTAATTCTCTCTCTTTCTTCGCAACTTTATTTATTTATTACAAGAATGATTTTTTTTTCAGTTTCGCTCCAAAGATGATATACTTTTTTTACTGAACAATACACCAAGTTGTCCACAAGAAACATTTGATTACGGAGAGAAAATCCTGAGATTTGCCACATTTTCAAACGATGGATCGATGCTTGCTGTCATTGGAAACGAGTGTAGATTATGGGTCAGTTATTTGCTAAACATTCTCTAAAATAATTGCGGCAATGTTCAGGTATATCGAGAGGAAGAAGAGATTTTATTCGTTCAGCTTCATGAAAAAAGAAGATGGAATAAAGTGCTTTCTGTTGAATTTTCTCCAGATGACAATCATATTCTAATTGTTGGATTTATGGAAGAAATTCTAGCGATGCGTCGGAAAAATGAAGCATGTGTGTACGAACTTGGAGGTATGGCAACTTTTATTTTTTGACAACTTGTAAATGTTCAGAAGATCATGCGCGTCTCCATTCATTTAATTACCTTGATCAGGGAATGCTCAGTACATGGTTGGACAATAAACACATTTTATATATGTCGAATAATGGAATGTTGGTTGTTAAGAAATGTTAAAATATTTTTTTAAAAACTAGTTTTAGGAGAGACAGAATGCGAATTTTCATCAGCTCCATTGATATCTCCTCCGAGATTATGATTTTCCCAATTCTCACGTTTAACACTCGTGTCACTAAAATTTTGGTAGCCCAGCATGTTTCTCCAAGGACCCGCAAAATCACACAAATCGCAGATCAAGCACAAGAAGAAGGGAAAGTGAGTCGTTCAAAAAAATTGACCATTATTTTTTTTGTTCAATTTGGTTGTTTTCAGACTCTTTCCCAAAAATTGTTCGAAATCGGACTGGAGTCAGGAGTCGATGTGAATAACATGCAAGAGCTGCGAGCCATTTTGGATCAAGAGTCGCAGTGTATGCCATGCTACAGATTGCACTCTCATCATGACGCCGTTTCCCAGAGAAATTGTTCATGTCAGTGTCATCACAACACTGACAAACTTCTTATTTTCCATGGAAACGACGATCGTTTACATATCAAAGTGATTACTCATCGACTTCTTGAAAGAGCTAAGCAAGCTTGGAGACAACGTGGGTAAGTGATTTTTGTACCCAGTTAAACAAAACGAACAATTTAAATAATGAACTAGAAGCCAAAAACATATATTCTATAAATCGGTTTTTAATTGATTTTTGCCAAAATTATTTCTAGTTTTCACAATTCGAACACATTTGCATCATTTGCCAGATACTTCTTTTTTAACTTGCTTGATCACAATTTTTAGAAAAATTGAATCATATTAAATATTCATTGATACAGTGACGTGGAAGAGGATGCTGACCAGAACCGCCTATTCTCTCCACTGCTACATTGTACATCATTTGATACCGTGGATCATGTTTTTCGAACTGGGTTTTCTCTATTGAAAAGCTCCATGTGCTTTTCTCCAGATCACAGATATCTTTATGTTACCGGAACTCGAGAAGCTGAAAAACCTAAAGATCCAATAATGGAGGTATTAATCACTTTGGACTGTTAACGTGACGTACATTATGCAAAATTACAGATTAAACCAACTTGTCTTGATCTCGAAACAATGGTAATTAAAAGCACACCGGATTTTTCAATTCACCCGTGGGTAGAATATGATTATAGTGCCTGTATCACTGCAAACAACGACTTTGTAGCTTTGTGTGTTTTCAGTGTTAGTACAAACCCAATAATAGGTGAACTTACAGATTCACTGGAAAGGATGTATTACTATGGTCATCATTTCATCGTGGATATCCAACAAAAATTTTGTCGGATTTCAACTGGCCTATTTCTTCCGTTGCTCTCCATCCACTGAAAAATGAACTCGTTGCTACTTGCCAAACGGAACTTCGCTATTTTCAAAGCCCAGTATTGAAAATTGAAAATAATTCAACACAAACTTGATGAAGATGAATTTCCGGAATTTGAAAAAACAACTAACATTAAGTTTGTAAGAAATGTCTTGAATAAGTGAAACTATTTATTTATAGTTTGTTGTGCAAACGTTTTTTGTATTACTTGTTGATACCTTGCTCTTCTTAAAATCACACACAATTTTTGCTGCAATAAACTTATCCTACACAACCAATATCAAAAACTGAATTCCATTTCACAACTCCCAAAAAACGTTGCTGACGTTTTTTGATTGACCTACAGTTCATTATTCCACACCCTTTATACGTTTCGATAAAATGTTGATAGTTAGAGCACATCAACCAAAAAGGGAGGATTTTTTTTACTACACTGTAAAATGTTCTTATCAGTTTTATGAACCGGGAGGTTCCCGGATTGCAGCCAACGCCCATGTTCGTTTTTGAGTGTTGTCTTTCTTAGCGTTTTATGGTTTCGGATAATTTTTTATGACAGCTGGGTTTATAATAATTGCTCGTTGTCGTAAACAGTTCATTTTTTTTTCATATCTTTTGTACTTTTTCCATTCTGAGAAATAATTTGAAATAATTTTATTTGCAAAGTATTCAGTGCTATTATCGCAAACTCTTTTCTTCTGCAATACATACATACGCTCACGCATATGTCCATTGGCAAATTTTGAGGCGTGAAAATAGTTTTTTTTTTTCTTAAGACTTTGGTAATACTGTTATAATCTTTCAGAAAAGTGAGAAAATTAAAAAGATAGGAAGACTTAAGAAAGTTGTGAAACTGGAAAGTTGCAGAGGGGAATTAGCAATTCGGAGAAATTTTTTGCAAAACGATAAAAACTGATATTCATAATAAAGAAAAACAAATGAAATAAATTTTAGGAATTAAGTTTTCTCATCTCATAGAAATCAAAAAAATTCGGGAGGAATTTTGGAATACTATTTTTCACAGACGAGTTTGGATTTATATAAACTACAACATCAATAAATGAAGACAAATTTGAATTATTCTGTACAAGGAGACCTAAAATGGGCTAGTACAAATCACATGTCTGAAACTTTGCAAATTTGTACTAAAAAT